TTGTGGTATGCCATGCTGTGTGGATGTGTCTTGGTATGCCATGCTGTGTGGATGTGTTCTGGTATGCCATGCTGTGTGGATGTGTTTTGGTATGCCATGCTGTGTGGATGTGTTTTGGTATGCCATGCTGTGTGGATGTGTTTTGGTATGCCATGCTGTGTGGATGTGTTTTGGTATGCCATGCTGTGTGGATGTGTTGTGGTATGCCATGCTGTGTGGATGTGTTATGGTATGCCATGCTGTGTGGATGTGTTCTGGTATGCCATGCTGTGTGGATGTGTTCTGGTATGCCATGCTGTGTGGATGTGTTGTGGTATGCCATACTGTGTGGATGTGTTGTGGTATGCCATACTGTGTGGATGTGTTGTGGTATGCCACGCTGTGTGGATGTGTTGTGGTATGCCACGCTGCGTCGATGTGTTATGGTATGCCATGCTGTGTGGATGTGTTGTGGTATTCCACGCTGTGTGGATGTGTTGTGGTATGCCATGCTGTGTGGATGTGTTGTGATATGCCATGCTGCGTCGATGTGTTATGGTATGCCATGCTGTGTGGATGTGTTATGGTTTTCCATGCTGTGTGGATGTGTTGTGGTATGCTATGCTGTGTGGATGTGTTGTGGTATGCCATGCTGTGTGGATGTGTTGTGGTATGCCATGCTGTGTGGATGTGTTGTGGTATGCCATGCTGTGTGGATGTGTTGTGGTATGCCATGCTGTGGGGATGTGTTGTGGTATGCCACGCTGTGTGGATGTGTTGTGGTATGCCATGCTGTGGGGATGTGTTGTGGTATGCCATGCTGTGTGGATGTGTTGTGGTATGCCATGCTGTGTGGATGTGTTCTGGTATGCCATGCTGTGTGGATGTGTTGTGGTATGCCATGCTGTGTGGATGTGTTCTGGTATGCCATTATATTTGTATGAAGTTCACATACTCTCTGCTCATACCATTCATTATGGTAATTATGTAAAATATGTAGATATGTAGTGTACATAAAGTATATTGCAGGTAATTTCATTAATAAATCTTGGGCTTTTACAATTAAATGTTTATTTGTTTAATGGTAACCAGGCAAACCTGTAGTAGGCTCGTTAATCATGAATCAAATTATGCAAAATAGGCCTGTAATCATACAATTCTTATCACAAATTCATTTTGCCAAAGAGACATGAGATCATACATACAATGCTTATCATGAATTCCATCTTGTCAATTGTTGTGATCAAGCGACCTTTATGAATTCCATTTCATTTTTTTTTCATAAATGCTATATTGCTAAAGCCTGTGATCTAACAATCCTTATTCCTGAATAACATCGTGCCACAGGGGCATGTGATCCATGTTGTAAAAGAGGCTTGTGATTATAATATCCTAGTCACAAATCTCGCCGAAGAGGACTGGTAAAACAACCCTTATCATGACTTCCTTCTTGCCAAACAGGCCTGTGACCATATGACTCTTATTAAGATTTCTGTCTGTCCAAGAGGTCTGTCATCACATGGCCCTTATCATGATTTCCATCATGCCAAAAATGCCCTTGAACATTTCACCAGGGAGCAAAACTGCAATACACTCAGTTCTGCCATAAGCAATCTTGAGGAGGGTAAGTTCATTCTACGGCCCTTGTCATGAATTCCATTTTGCCAAAGATGCATGTGATCATATGGCCCTTATTGTAAATTCCATCTTGCCAAAAAGACTACTGGGAGTTACCAGCCAGCGGAAATGCGATGCAGTCAGCTCCTTTATAATTGTTCCACAGCAATCTTGTGAGAAGGCAGGTCCATCTCTGCTAAATGGTCTGACATATAAGGTTCGTAGTGGAAGTCAACTAGATTACACACTTGGGCAGAACTATGTCAATCTGGTTAGTCGATGTCAGAATATATGCGGTATGATTATTGGGTCCAAGCCCTTTCGGGGATGAACCCCTTTTGTTATCGTTGGAATTTTTTTCTTTCCGTTGTGTTTTTTTTCATCAGCTCGTTTGAGAAAATGAATGAACAGAATGGTCTGAAACCCTTCATACTTATAGGCCCTGATGTGAACTGCTGCAGCTAACTTCCATAATTTTGATTGGTTAATTGTTTCGTCGGCCATATTGGAAATTAAACTGGAAGTGGCTGTTTGACCACTTTCTGAGGGTCTAGGCAGCCATATTTTTTATAGCATATAGGACAACTCATGTGTAATAGACATCAGCAATAAAAACTTTAACGGTCACATGACTTTTCGCCATCTTGTTTCTCAAAAACGGTAAAAACGCTTCAAAATCTTCTTCATCAGAACCACTCGGCAAAATGTTCTCCAATATGGTATTTTATCATCTATATATGACCCACATTTGAGTTTGGAAAAAAAAATGTTATGATTGGTCACATGGTTTGGCCGCCATTTTGGTTTTCTTTTAAACAGTAAGTATTTTTTTACTTCTGCCACAATTAAGGGATTGTCTTCTAATGCTGCATTGTATCTCTATGTTGAACTTTTTCAGAAAGTTAAAAAAAAGAATTCAGATCAGTCACATGGTTTGGTCGCCATCTTGCATTATAGGAAAAACTGACCAAAAGTTTAGGCATTTGTTTCTCAAAGGTTCATCCACAGATAAACTAAATAAATATGTATGTGACATGTCTTGTCATAGCTTTACATGAAAAATAATAAAATGTCTATCCTTCACATGGCTTGGCCGCCATCTTGGATTTTGTAAAAACAGGAAATGGGCAATTACTTGTGTTGTATTGGTCCGATTGAGGTGAAAATTTGTTTGTGCATTCTAATCTTGAGATACATTTTTTCCAACTGAATGACACATGGCTAGGTCCTATGGCTGGGCGCCCATGAGATGAGGGCTTCTAACCTCAACAAAATGCATAACTGTTATATCTCAAGCACTGTTGCAGTTAGAAAAATGTACTCAGTGTTATTATGACAATGTTGAACAAGAGATTTGATTAAAATAATAGATGACCGTATGTGTTCATGTGAGCTCATTAATATGCATAACTGTCATATCAGTAACAATGTTGCAGAACGGAACATGCAACCAGTGGCATAATGAAGGCATCAAACAAAAAATGTAGCTGACATAAGCAATACACCCACATTTTACCCCCAATTTGTTATCAGTCACATGGTTATGTTGATGTTGAATATAAAGAAATATTTAACATGTTTACACTTTATTATGCAGGGATATTGGTATCAACCAGTATCTGCAGATAACTTTCCTGACAATTCTGCTTGGATCCCGCGAATGCTGTTTGCAGCTTTAATTAAAAACTGTTATCGTTTGGGCATGCTAGCAACACCATGCAATATATAGACAAGCAGTATGGAAATTGTGATGATATATATGATAAAGCAGACAACAACTGTAGAGATAGTACTAACATATCTAAGGAACATATGGTACAGTTGTTGAGTTACCAAGCTACTGTTGAATCACAGTGACGTTTTTTCAGGTGAGCATGGCTTGTGAAAGATGTGACTAAGTGAAACGGGGTATAAACATGTTTCCCGGCATTGCTACAGCTTCAAGTGTATAAAGAATTTTGCTAATATAACAAGACCTCTTAATATACACTGAAGGCACAGTCGTTTGTCTGGGATGACAGCGTTGAATTGTGCAGACATGGTTGAAGAAACATTAAACATTACAACAAGAAGAAGAACAAGAAGTTTGGAAGAATGTGGGTTGGCAAACGATAGACAAAGTCAGGTGTTTTACCCGGCAAACATTCATACTTAAATGGACAAGTCTTCATACTTGGGAAAATTTCATTTTGTCGACTTTTTCTCGCATTGTGACACCATGTAAAACACTGTGCACTTCTTTAAAACGTCACTCGAGGAAACAAACATAATATTATAACGTTACACACTATTGGTGACTGAGATGAGTGGTCACCTCGTTCAGGCCCAGGTGTTACCAACAGTATATGTGATGTGAATGTGATGTATTCGCTTAGGCACACAATACTGGGGTCATCAACTGACATCTTCTGTAGTAGATGGATCCAGTTAAAATGTGCGTGCCTAGGTTCAACATTTATTATCAACGTGTTTCCGTTTTTTAACTACGTGTAATTATAATGGGGTACCTTGAGTATGCCGACTGAATGAGTGAAGTCATGGCAATAATATACCAACGTGGATTATTCATAATGTTAGCATCATTTTGAATCTGACGGCTGTCATATATTTTTATTATTTTATTAAAATATATAAAAGACCATACATACTTTGAAACGATTTTCGCCAACTCTAGCGAGAGCGATGTGACATTTGAATAACGAAAATGTTTTACTATTGTTGTAAAATTGATTATGAACGTCCTAATAAATGAAGCTTTACTTAGGTGTTCTATTCATTCATGCGCTGTTACAATTGACGTTTTTGACACGTCGTTGGAGAGAGTACAACTACCAAACGTTGAGCAATGCTATGAATACACATACAAAAAAGAAAAACATCAAAATAGTGGTTACAAAGCTTGGGTGTAAGTGATATTATTTGTCAAAATTGTAACGTAAAACACGATTTTCACATTCCATGCTACTTAGGTGAGTGAGAATTTTATAAACTAATTATGAGCAAGTTGAGGGGATATTTTCAGATTCCTTTTCGGTGTGGAGTTAATATGATAGTAGTGAATGGCAACGTTCAGGTGTTTAGTTGCTACGTTTATAATACTTGTGTCTATTATGGTCTTGTTGCTTGTCACGTACTGGGGTACCGGTAAGATTTGTTTTCATTAACAATATTTAAACTTTCTACTATAGTGAAATATGTACACGGAATATGAGGAGTGAATCATCACAAGTAATTTTGATTCTGTCGAGCCGAGGGACCCCCAATTTTGATTTAAATTTAAATTCCTATTTATTGTATTTCTAATGTGTCTAATATAGGATATGCATATGATAGTGTATTTATTGAAATCAAACAATGGATGATGTCCTGAACAGCTGTTGGCAGATGTTACCATGGATATTATTTGAGCTCAACTTAATACTATACACACTTTGTAAACATGTGATATGTTTCACCATGTGTTTGGTGTTGAATACAATAACACTTATATTATAATACCGTGTATTATAGCCCCGTTTGCCTTGATCAGTCCGTACCATATGCATCAGACAATAACGGTATTGGGGTCAAAGCACGAATTAGACGAACAAGAATGTATTTGAATAGACAGTAAAACTGTTATTTAATTATTTTTAAAATATTGGTGAATGTACATTTGGAATTCCATTTTGCTAGGACACCTTTTCTTTCTTCGGATATTAACCACATTCCTGCGATTAAGTACAATTTAAAAATTGCAAATACAATTACTGCTTCAATAATTTGTCATGTGTACAATTATTACAGAACCAGCCAAATGTCACTAACTAACTCTCACCAGCTAACACAAACCACCCAACACCAACCAACTTTGTATGTTGTTTAAAAACAAATAGATGACCTGCCAACAATGTTTCCACTGGCGACTGTAAAATGTCATTATCAGTTGGCGATCAAGGACCATGGTCACGTGTTATGGCAGATTTGTCGTGACCTATCACAAGGGATTGCACTTGATAGTCCACGGCATGGTGACTGCTACTGCTTCACCATCAGGTACAGTGCATTTATTTTATTTAAATTTAAACTATATATTAAAATAATGAATTATACTATATACTTTATGTATGATTCTGAACTAATATTCGACAATGTCGTAAAAGTGTTAATTGTATCAACTCACTGTGTAACATGGTAGTATAATGTGCAAAATATACACTAAATGTTATGGTCTTATTATTTACTTTTGTATTACAGTTCACATGGAAGAATGCATGGCAAATGGAAACTCCTGAATAATTTAACGACTGAGTTTGTTAACTGCCAGTTTAAACTCATAAATATAGACAACACTGATACCGATATAATACTTACACAAATGCTAAACACTGATGTAAGTGAAACATTCACATTGCTCAGTTTATTATAAAGTAGTAGAATAACTAATCTCACAGTTAGTGAAGGTACGATACATACAAGATCGGTATATTGTAAAACCTGTAATAAGCTCCGTCATTGATGAACTTCTCTCCAGAAATTCAATGTTAACTGTTAAATTTATTTCAGATTGAATTATTACATATAGATGTTGTAGATGAGCAAGGTTGGTTAGTTCTTATCAAGTTGATGTCTTCACACGTTTTCAAGCGTGTGAGACAAGTATTGCTGAATATAGAGTTCCACTCAAATGATGAAGATTTATTCATTGTAAAGGTATTTGTTAAATCGTATACAAGATAGATGGGCATAGCGAAATAACTCTAAATATAAAATGTGTACTGAAACGTTGCAATACATATCGTTTCATAACTGTCATTATTGACGTGCTTTCGAGAAAGTTTACAAGTTATCTTATATCAAAAATAAAAAATTTTGAGCGAGAATAACGAGAAAAATTTGAAAAGTGTTCATTCAGTATGATGTGGCTTAATTGTGTCACCCGAAGGATTATATTATACTAGGTATGCATCATTAACAGCCTGTTAATATATACTGCATTTGCATTTTTGGATATTTCTATCTGGTTACTTTTAATCTTGCGAGTGAATGCATTGTAGACCCATAGAATGAGCGGTTAGAAAAATCGTTCAACCTGATATTTTCTCTTCCTTGTTAGAAACTGGAGCTGATTGAACAAATATTAATAAAAAAGTTTGGTTTTGTATTAACTTTCTCGAATTTTGTACGAAAACTGAAAATGCAGTGGAGAATTATTCCAAAATTGAATTATTACTCGACGTGGGCGAAGGTAAGCGTCTGTTATCAATACAATTATATTGTGTTTAAATAATGTTCAATTAAATTCATTTTAGGGTAATTCTTGGCACTTTTGGCGAACATATTACTGCGCATATGCGCACAGCATTCTGGGAAAGTAATGTTTGTAATGGACACCTTGTATCATACTGGAAATAGAAGATAAGTTTGGATGTTGTTGTTTATTGTTGTTTGGAGATGTGTTATAATGATGATAATATCATGTTTTTATGACACTGAGTGAATTTATGTTGTATATTTAAAGCTTCACACTAAAAAGTTCAGACCTAAGAAATTACAGTGGCTCCCAAACGTGCATGTATTGCGAAATGGCCACCAACATGTAAGTAACTCACAATAAAACATACGTTAACACAACATAATTTCACAACACAACACTATTCAATACAATTTGAGATACGAACCTATACAGTACAATAATATGATAAATACATACTAATTTATTGGGGATGTGGAGTGGAATCTCAAAATTCTAATTTGACAATACTTTGTATGCTCGTGTTGAAAACTGAACATGTTCGATCATTAGTTATATATGTTTTCTCTAGAAACTTAACAAAGCTTTCCAGCTCGAAGGGGCAGCCACGAAAACGGATGCCGAAGAAGAATACATGGACTTATTCTACCCAGCAGATTTAGAAGCAAATCGACTACTTGAATATATCACAAAAACACATATTAAAATAAACTGTTCAATAAGTAAACACATGGGAAAAGATGAAGACAAAGATGGTGGATGGGATATTTGCTTTGATCCTATATTAGGACTAAATTCAACACAGTGTTTAGTATATTCAATAGGGTAAGTTATCGTAGTACAAGAATATATACATGATTACTGTATCATACTTTTCATATTAAGTTTAGATTATTTTTTATTCGGGGTCATTAATGTCATGGTTGATTCCGATACAGGTTTTGTAAATTAATTTAGAAAATACGGGGTAACAGCGATGATATTTGTATGCGTTGTTCATATTTGTACACAGGATCGGGGAGGACTTTTCATTTGACGAAGCCATGGCGAAGTACGGATGTAATGTTTTCTCGTTTGATCCCAGGTAAGTAGATTAGGATTAATTGTGATTTAGCTAGATATACCAGCGAATTGCAGTCAGTGGTGTTTTCCATTGTATATATATATAGCTCAACAAATAATAAATTTAAATCTAAGTTATTCGGATGGCGGGTACTTCATTTTACTTTGTTTAAATGGTATAGTATTGTTTCAAAGTGAAAGAATTATGTTGACTAATTGTCGCATACGACTTATTTACCACTTTCGTGTCACTGAGAATATTCTAGAACCGTACTGTGTCTGGGTGGAATATTCTAGATTTTTTTTAGAAAATGGTTGAATAGGTAATAGAACACTGTAGGAGGCAGTAGAAGGTAATGGAACATTCTAGAAATTGGTAGTAAGTTCCAGACTCATTATGTATGCTGATGTAATGGTCTATTTATAGACAGTGGGGGTATATATAGGGGAGTTGTTCAGTTCAGATCGAAGATCTCCTTGAATTGTGTTGGAGTTAAGGTAGCGAGACTATTATTTGTGTTGAAAATTACGATTTTCACATTTATTTATTAATTGATGAAATGCACTATAAACTTTCATGTGATAAAGTCAACATAACATAGAATGTCATGTAAGTTGGTTAAAATGTAGATTTCCTGAATGGAAGCAAGGCA